ATTGCTATCAGTATTGCTCTTACCATTACGATTCTTATTATGACTTTGATCATTATTGTTACTGTTACTACTACTCTTCCTCCTCCTCCTCCTCCTACTACTACTACTACTACTACTACTACTACCACCCTTACGAGTTACGACTTACCACTTACGACTACGACACGACCACGGCTGCTACAACTTCTGCTGCAGCGACTACTACTACTACTACTGCTGCTGCTGCTGCTGCTGCTGCTGCTACTGCTATGTCTATTTCTACTACTGCTAGTACGAAAAATGCTAATATCAACTACCGCGAACCACTAGTATCTACTATCGACTATCATCACCACCATCTACTACTACAACTACTACTACTACTACTACTACTACTACCACTACTACTACCACTACTACTACTACTACTACTACTACTACTCCCACCACGACGACGACTACTACTGCCACTGCTACTGCTACTGCTACTACTACTGCTACCGCTATTTCTACTACTGTTACTACCTCGTCTACGACGACAACGGCTGCTACAACTGCGAGCACTGACACAGACAACTGCTAACACAGCTGCTACTGCTCCTTGCCATTTTTAGCACCAGAACTAATACTACAGTTGCACCGGCACTACCAGCAGCAGCAGCAGCTGCAGTCAGCAGCCACAGATCTAGCAACAGGTCTGCCGGACGATGACAGCAGCATGGGTGCCGTGTTGTCGCCACACTGAACAAGCGTTTTGTCGTCATTGTGCGACGTGCTGAACACAATCCGTTGCCACATCTTTGCACGGCTGTCAAGTCTAGTTTCCCTGACGAGCTGGAAGCTCTTCTGACACTGGTGGTGCATCCGCAGCAAGCAACAATAATCAATAGCCGGATGCACCCGTCGACATGCAAAAGGAGACGAGCAGTCACCCTGAGAGTGAATTTCATCCTGCTGGACAACATCTTGTCGGGACGCTGATGGACCAATGTCCATAGTCTGATGGCATGATGGACAATGTAATATCAAGGCCCTGCAACTGCGTGGAGCACGTGAGCTCAAGGAATGGTAAGTGGGCTCAGGCACAAGGAACGTGTGCTGCTATTAATATTGACTTCACATTCTGTGCACGATTAACAAGCCTCTTTTCGCATACCGCTGTGCAGGAAACATGGCCGGACTCAACTACTACAAGGCCAAGCTGGCTTCATGTTTGCAGCGTCCTGCACTACAATTTCGCTTTCAATGCTTCGCTGCTGCAGGCTTCCTTCCACAACTACGTCATCTTCACACCCAGCAAGGAAGACCTGCTAGCGGCCGGCTTTAGCGGAAGCATTTACTCCTTTCATTCTGGCCGGGACAAGGCCAGCGCGCGTGTATTTTTTTTTTTTTTTTTTTTTTNNTCTCTCTCATGTCTCTCTCTCTCTCTCTCTGTCTGCCTGTTTGTCTGTCTGTCCGTCGGTCTCTCCCGGTCGTCTGCTGTTTGTTCCCGCATGTGAATGACCATGTGTAAATGATAATGGATGTCTTCTGCATAGACGCACATAGTGACACAGTGCAACGCTTTCAGGCCTTATGCCACATCCCACGCGCACACATGTGTACACATGTATGTTTGTATAATTTGTATACACATAGGCACACAGTCGGCATAGGCATCGACATGTAACAGAACGAGAGATACCTTTCAAGCTCGTCACCAAGGTGAATCCAAACAAGGCTGAGGAGAAGCTGCGCTTGAAAAGATGGGTGCTGGCGAGATGCAAAGAGGCCAGCGGTTGGGCAAGCTTAGCCACTTTTTTCGCAGCCAACCGCAGTGAACCCCATGTGGACCCTTCATGATGTGATTTCACGATACAGGACCTGCAATAATGTACGTACATTGTGCAGACTGGATGGCGAAGGTCGGTATTCCTGTGGATGAGACCCTCAGCAATGGTGGCTTCGTGGAGGAGCCCAACGACGTGATGGCATGATCCTCAGAGCTTCCCCGGCAGCCGGTGCCACTAGTGAACTGTTTCAAACCTTTCGGCAGACAATCCGTGACTGGCCTGCAGGCTTTCGACTTCTCCGAAATATGGAAATGCAAGAAGAACTTTGCCTTCAACTTGCCTCCCATCGGGTACGACACTGAGGCCGCAACCGCACCCACACGAGTCATCAGCGACTCAGCCAAGCCAAAGATTAGCTGGATGGACTTCGCGTCTCCGCAGGTGCATGGACCCTGGACAGGAAAGTCTTTGGTGCCACCGATAGGATTGGTTGGAGATGCAGTGCCTGGGCATTGCAGATTAGACAATCTTAAACAGGATCAAAGGATCTTGCTGGTGTCACCAGAAGGTCCGCGAGTTTAGAACGCTTAGGCCTGTGCGTTTCATGCGATTGCTATCCGCCAGCCGATGAGGTCTTGTCCTGACTTAGACCGTTAGACCACTAGCTTGTTAGACCCTTGTGTTGTTTTCTTAGCTTTGCTATTCCTGGACTGACGAAGAAGAAAAAGGCTCTACATGTGCAAACAAAGGTGACAGAGCCATTTTGGATCGCCGGAGTGGGCTTGCAGCGGGGTTGGCACCTCGTCGGGGGCATTGCCTGGGCATATCTTGTTGCAGCATCAGCAGACTGAATCGTTTGAACTCAAGCCTTGTCTGCCTTGCCCAGGAACGGCGTGATGGATGCATGCTTCTTGATCGACAACCTGTACAACATGAGCTTTTCTGGTGGGCCAGATGCTGCGGAGACCACGTCCTGGAATGAGCATGTGCCGCAGCTCGAGATCTGAAGTTTGCAGATTTAAAGCGGTCTTGCGTTCCCGCCCTTCGCTTTCCAGATGTCAGGTTCAGAAGTTGCAGAGCATCATCCCAGTCCTCTACGACTGCAGTCATGATGGCAAAATGACTAGAGAAGGTGCCGCCTGCCATGTGGGTTCTGGGCTTATCTTAACTGTACAGTGTGGGGTTTTTCGGTGTTTCTTAGGCATGCAGCCACCCTGCACACTGGTGCCAACTCCTTGGATCTCCTTGGCAGGCTTGCAGGGAGAATATGCTGACCAGGGAGTCGTCATGACGCAGCTGAACAAACAGCCGGCGGCTCAGGGTGACTGCGCTGTAAAGTGCACCTTGCCGCCTTGCGGTTGCAACGTGCAGCCGTCCAGGCAAAAGGACTCAGAGAAGCCCCAGTGGCAGCTGCAAGTGAACCCTTGGACGCGCTACGAGCAGTTCTCAAAGCAGTTGGAGGAAAAGTACAAAGGTGCTCTTGACGGTTTTTTACTGGGCAGCACATGGATATGGCAGTGGAAATCGCTAAGCTTCCCGGTGCAGGTGCACGTGTTCTGGAGAATATGCATCCTACAGTGCGGCGAGCTTTGGCCATCAGGCTGCGTGCTTCCTTGCTTAGCGGTGGTCTTTGTTGGACTGTAAACATGGCATGCCGGCTAGGAAGCACCCGAACGACAGCGAGGTTTTCAGCGCCAAAAAGCTAAAGTCCATCAACGGAAAGAGCATTGCACAGGCGCGTGAGAGCTTCGCAGGCAGCAGCAGCTTCATTGTGTCACAATGCTTGAGGCAAACCCAGCAGATGAAGTCCTTCAGCCGGGGCGACGCTGGATTGAAGGAGGTGTTTCACTGGGCCCATGTCAGCTACAGATTGTGTGTCATTTCCGGTGACCGCTTCGAATGAATGTGAGGAAAATCATCTGGGGATGCTCAGTTGCAGCCTATGCCGGCAGAGAGAACATCCATACCGGAAACAGAAGTGGATGCTTGCACGCACTGGTTAGGGAGTGTATCAGTCCCAGTCCCAATTCTGCCTGATACCGTTGCTGACAGCTTTGATTTGTGAGGCGAGGCGTGCATCCACAAAGTCCGAGAATCTGCACAACATGCTAGCAAAGCAAATCGATCGGCTCTCAGGTTGAGTCAAGGCTTGTACTGTAGATAGAAAATTCGACCGGCAAGGGGCAAGCTCTCGCCACTAAGGACCTTCACGTTCAAAGCACAGCTTCCAACAGCACAAGAGGCTTTGATGACGAACGGTGGAAGCCTTTGTCCCCGAAGGCAACCTCGGAATCTCCTGCACGAGGAGCTACCTGGGCTTTGCTCTTGTTGTAGCTCTGCTTTCAGGCGACCGGCTTTGCCGAGATGGCTGAGAAGCAGTGGGACATACTTACAGCGCCTGGTCTGCCAACTGCTTTGTACGCATCGGACAGTTCTTTTTGGAAGTCAACTTGCAGGAAAAGCATCTCAGCCCTGGCCAGCGTGCCGAACTCCTTCATGTTCGGCGGCTGGCCTTGGAGAAGGTCTGTTGTGGTCATGGTGTGTCCGTCCGCCATGGAGTGGAGCATCTCCATGCGTTGAGTGTCTGAGGAACATGCAAGTATCGCTGCGGCAGCAAATCGAAAGCCTTAGCACCAGCCTGGCGGCTTTCGAGCGTGCCGAGCGGGAGCTTCTCTTGGGAAGTGGCTAACAGAGGCGGACAATTTTTTTTGCCGTGTGCTCTGTCTGCAAATTCAAATGCGTCTTTCGCAGTTGCAATGACAACGTCTCCTGAGAGGCTCTCCGAGCTCTCCTTCTCCCGAGAATAGATCTCAACCAAAAACCTCAGCATGGATACTGGCTCGTGAGCATTCGCGGGCTTCCTGAGCGGAGCCTATCCTCGTTGAAGAATCCAGACCGGCATAGGCATGGCATAGGCCCTAGGCATCGCAGAAGCTTTGCTCTTAACGTCGCCAATGTGTGCTCTCTTTGGTTTCCGAGCCCTTGCCCCCGGGCTTCTGACTGAGCATGCACTTCCAGGCCAAGTCGAAGTATTTTGTGCACTTGTGTGCGAAAGCAGTCATCGGCATCATTTGGCGGCCGGTTGGTTCAATGCACCTGGCAACACCGACCTGAAATAGGTTTCTTTATTTGGAACACCCGGCAGTCAGCAGGCTGCTGTCATACCACGCCCATGCTCAAGTGTTCTCCGGCGGACGCTGACATAAATCAATCTGCACTCCGTAACTGCCTTCGGGAGGCGGAAGCGGTGCCCAGCGGCCCTTGCAGCTGGGTGGCTTGACGATGCCAACTTGTTCAGAATTCACGCTAGCAAATGTCATTTTGTTATGCACAGCTTGCCAGACTCACGCTGGCAGCCTTGGTCTGTGCTCTTAAACTCTTTAGTTGCCATGTTGGATGGAAGCCTCATACGAGGCTTCTAATGTTCATGGCGGCACGGGCATTCTATCGGTGCGAGTGCAAAGCACCACCATGGGCGAGCATGTTGTGACGGTAAAGCAAGACACGCGCCAAGCACAGCTTGCAAAAATCAGGAGCATGGAGCAAGGAGCATGACAAGGTTTAACGAGTCTGAGGTTATGTAGGGGTTTTTCGCAGAATCACAGAACTTGCGAAATTCATTGGGCCTGCTCCGAAGGATCGCACCGTGACTGTCAGGGAGCGCGACACCATGTGGCAGATCAGGCAGCCTTACAGTCCTGCCAGAAGTCTTAAGCCTCCCGGCTTTGCCGCCTCCCTCCCTCCCTCCCTCCCTCCCTCCCTTCTGCTTTCTGCTTGGCTCCCTGCCCTTTGCCCTTTTTGTGGCTTGCTTGGTTGAGAGGTTGCCTCTCAGCGAGCTGGCCTCGCTCCTCCTCACGTTGTGCAAAGGTGCTGAGGCTTGGGAGGCCGAGAGCCAAGAGCTCCTGGCGCGATGTTTCGAAGAAGTGCCCTTGCAAGGCTACCTTGTGTGCAGAGGTGGCATTCAACAAGTACCCCCACAAGAAGAGCAGCGCTGAGAGCGAATGGGCGCGCTAGGACAGCCCTTGGGTGCGTCGTGGAGACTGGTAGCGAAGTGTCGCTTCCATCCGAAACCGAAAAAGCGAGCTCAAGGCAGCTGTGGATCCGCTGTGATGACGAATCTACCATTGTTGCCTATAGTTCTTCTCCGTGTCCCGAACTCTTCGCGAACACTGCGCAGCATCGGACCTCAAAGGAATACATGCCGATCTGTTCATCCTGTCGTCGAACGAACGTCCTTGACATTCACATGTAAACCACGATGTCTCGCTGTACATCTGATCTTAGAAATTAAGTCGAGAACACGCCCAGATACAGAAATCGAACATGAGGCTTGCAAGCTTCTTACCAGACGTGCCCCATCTAACAGGTCAAGAGTGCTGCACAGAGGGAGGAGCAGCAGGAGGGGGAGGAAGAGAGGCTGGAAGCAGAGGGCCAGGCCGGGGAGCTTTGTAGGGGGGGTGGGTGGAAGGGGCGGCTGTGTGACACAACAAAACTCCTGAGCCCCTACTCAGCCCCTGGTTGGACAGGCAAGCCTGAACCACAACATCAACTTGCGCCTTAGTTCGGGTGGTTGCCATTACAGAAGTTGTGAGGCTCAGGCTTTGTTTTGAATTTCAGTCCAATGCTGCAGTGACGGGTACAGCCAGGGTACAGTCATCTATGTGAACGCATTCACAGCGTTTGCTGGTAAAGATCTTAAGTTCTTAAGCATTGCAAACTTACTCACGCAGGAGCCCTAAAATGAGCCTTACAGGACCCTAAGCCCCTAACCAGATTGGGCTGTTTTGCAGTTTAAGTGTCAAGGCCCCATGGCTGAGGATTCTTGAGCCCAAGGGCCTGAAGGAGTGCACGACATCTGAATATACTCTAGACCCTAAAACCTACTACAACCTCAAGGGTCTAACGGGTCGAGTGTGGACTCTGGTTTTTCACCAACCAACCAGCCGTAGGTGACGCAGCTCAGCCCGAACCCTGTGCACACCTGTTCCTTGAGATGTGGCCATGGGGCAATGGCAAGTTGGCAAGCTCATGACTCTCACCGTGACTTGGTGTCAGCGCGTGTCAGCCATGCATGACCCGCATACGCAAAAGCAAACGATACCAAGGGGAGGTGCCTTCACCTTTCGAGCCGTCCTTGCTGGAAAGCCCCTTGTGGGTCAACAGCTGCCAACCTGAGACAGTGATTGAGCTCTGTTTCATGGCGCAACATGTGCCAACTCCGTAAAGTCGCAGACTCGAGGCTTCCACAAGAAGAAGGCGGTGAAGGTCGAGTCCATCGAAGAAGACGGCGTCGCGGAGCCTCGGCTCTCCGAGGCAACAGGCCAACATCCAGCTCCCAACGCATCTTAGGAGAAGATTTATGCCAACTGGATCAAAGAAGAGTTGCAGAAAGAAGCGGCATGCTTGGAGCTGCCCTTCTCTGTGGTCTTCCTGGCATCATTTGTGACTTGGCGAATCTGGACAGAAATAGCAAGGCACACAGCCTGTCCGGTTCGTTTGTCCTTCTGTTAAAGGCATCAAAACGCATTGTACTGCTGTCAGAGCTTGCGCTGTCGAAGTTGGCCATGCGTCGGCATGCTGAGGCTTTCTTTGCACTGGGGTATTTGGCGCAAGATGTTGCGGCGGTCAAAGATTGCAGCGGTTGCACGCATGCTCCAGTCTCACAGACAGCATGCAATCAGGTCATGAGTGTCGAAAATTCGATCGAGACGGACATTACCGAGAATGCAAATTTTGCTTTCGACGCTTGGCCTCGGACGTGTTGTACGATTTCCTAGGCTCGAAGGTGCCGGTTCACATCTGGCTGCTCGGCTAGGAAGGCTACTTCGGCAACAAGGTGATCGGTGACGTGAACAGTTTCGCAGACTTCTGGTCATGGACGCACCTGGCCAGCATCGGAATCGGATGTAGCGTCGTGATTTGCTGCGATGAGACACCCAGGCGGTTGGGTCTTCTTCCACTGGTCTTCCCCGAAATGCCCTACCTCTACTCTGAGGGCCTGGCGGAGGCCGTCCCAGAGGCCAGGGCCGCGAGTGCGAGAAGCTTTTCAAGTCAGGTCCCTGTCAGATGTTATGCTTTCTGACAGGGCTACAATATCAGTGCTCTTCCTCAACGATGGTTATATCCTGGATACGAAAAGCCCGCTCCTGTGCAAAATGATTACTTGAGGCTGGGCAAGATGACCAAATGCATTATGTTCAGTCGCGGCGCATGAGAAGTCCAGCAAGTCTCAGTCCAGCCAGCAGTGTGATACCCGCAGTGAGACATCTGTGGCAGGTATAACAGAATCATTGGAGGACTGCGATTTCGTCAGGAGGCCTTTCCTCAGCTAGGTGCCCAGGCTATCCTTGCATGGGATCCCGGCAGGTTTCCACCGACGACAAGGCAACCTGCACGCACTTCGGTGAGGAAGCAACATTCAGGCTGCCTGTGCACTGCTTTGATCGTGCGCGTGCAGCTTTAGTGGCTATGAGCGTGGTAGCAAGAGAAGCGTCAATCGCAGAGGACATGGATCGGCAAGCCATGTACGCACTTCACTGAATACGAGCTGCCGTGCAGGGCTTAGCTTTTCAGCTTGTGGGCTTGACTGAAGAAGTGCAGCGACTTCAGCACCATGTGTATATCCATGATTCCTAACCTAAGTCCTAAGTCAAGGCCCGACCTCATGGCCACGGAAGCCTTCAATAGTGCACCTCAGCGCGTCGAGTGGTTTCTGCCCGAGGTGGGCCGCCGTGCCCGCCTGTGCCCTGCGTCAGCCTCTTTTTGCTTCAGAGCAACAGGTCGAAGGGACATCAGCTTTGGTTCAGCACGTGATCGACATGGAGGATCGGGGCGAGCACGTCGCATTGCCAATCTTGAGTGGTGCCCTGATGTGCTCTGACGAGGATGGATGCTTCTCTGCCAGAGCACAGAACCGGTGCCGTCCTGAACATGGCGACTGACAACACCGATGCTTTACCGATGCTACTCGGGGTGTGGTCAATCGCAATTCTGCTCAGGACATGCCTGTGCCAGTGGTGCAACGCGCAGGTGTGCATGCATGCAGAAAGCATGACAGCAATCAGTGCGTTGTCCAGCCCATGCTGCTAGCCTTTCAAGGTGGGCCCACATCCTTGGCTGGATGAGCAGACACAACGAGCAGCGTCCTCTGCTGTGAAGAGCATTATGCGGCATCACCCCTTCGACGGCATCCGAGGTCGAGGTGGCCTTCATAACGTACAATGCACATTATGGCCATCACCCTAATCAGCAGCCTTGGTTCACAAGCTGCACCTGGTAGAGTTGGGGGAAGCGGCCAGACTCTCATCTCTTTCTCAGCTCAAGACTAGAACGGACCCCGCCGTTGGAAAATTCGTATCCATGGCGTGCCTGGGCGCATTTGTAGCAACTGCAGAGCGGCTTGCCGATGATCGCATAGCTATGCTTGAACTGAACTGAAGCCTCATTGACTTCTCGACAGACTTGTTGACTCGAGGCGGGCCTTTGGAGTTGTGTTGATTGCACTCTGCGCTGTTGGTGAAGCATCCATAAGCCCACCCACATCTTGTCAAATCACTCAGACACATGGCTGCACTGCAAGTCTCTGTGGGATTCTGCTCAGACTCAGTCCTCGTAATTCAGTAGCAGATCCTGGGTCGGCATGGCGCTGCACCAAGGACCAGTTTTCAAGCGTCCAATGTCAGATTGGAGTCTATATCTGCCGGACGCCCACGGCCGTGTTTGCTCAAAGGTCTGCATTTCAAAGCGCTCGCGAGGTGCAAACGACCAATCAGAAGCTGGCATTCGACATGCAGGCCAGCGTCTTCCCGGCCATAGGTTCGCAGCGGCTTCGCCTTCGTCGCAGGTCAACTTTCAGGCGACCTGCACCAGCGACACTGGCAACACCGCCTGGACGTCGGCTACTGGAGATGCTCGGAAGATAACTTGAAGACATTTGATGACATTTTGTACTGCGCAAAAGAGCGGATATCAAGGCTGTTGAACCCGAGGTGCGGCAAATGAGTCTGAAGGGTATCGACGTCCTCAACACGAAGACTGGAACGACGTCTTATGGCATAGAAGTGAAAGACGCACAGGACGACACATCTGACACGCACAGGATTGTGTACACTGCGAGGTGGATAGGCTCACTGGTTGAAAAAAAGGGATACGATTTGCTCCCAGGAGTCTATGACTCGTTTCGAAAATCAGGAACTGACTCTGTGCGGTTCCATTGTGTGGGGTTTTCATGCGGTTCGTTTCGAGTTGTGCTCTGCATGTTCCTTATATATATATATATATGCATGGTACCCCCCAAAAAAACCCTACATTTCAGTAGTTTGGACACTGCAGTCACATCGGTGAAATACTAGACTGCACACACCACACTTACAAACAAATATCAACAAATATCAAATTCCATATTGTTCGCTGCTTTGAACATCGAGGATGAAACGGGATGCTGCCAGCTGGGCCCAAGCACGGGACAGAGGAGCAGAGCATCTCTCCACCAACTTGTGTTCAACTCCCGCGCTTAAGCACCCGACCCCAGCAACCAGAACGCCGGGGTCCTTCCTCCTTCACCCCACCCGCGGAGACATGCATACCGGCCCGAAAACCAGGTGCATAGTATTTGTCCATCAATTTTTCTTCGCCCTTTCGGCCGGAATTCTGGACCTCGAAAACTCGAAGACCTCAAATTAAAAGCTCAGCTCTGAACAGGACAATGGTGCGTTCCAATATGGACCCCGCTGGGATGGCGACTGCGTGAGCGAAGAGTTCAAGGGTACGTGGACAGCAGGACCGCTGAAATCCGCTGAAAGCTGACAGTGGTAGAATTCATATTGCATTGCCTATATCCACCCCGGTTGGCAGAGGGAGGTGGAAGGGGGGGGGGGGGGGGGGNNGGGGATTGCGTGGCCGATCAATGAGTCCACGGGGAGGCAGGAGGGGTGTGGGGTGTGGCGGTCAAGAAGAGAGAAGACAAGGGGTCTTTGTGGGAACTTCTGCCTACTTCGGCCGCAGCCTCCAGTATTGTCATAGCGACTTGCACGGGTCGTTTCATCTCGCATCGCTTGAAAACAGTCACGCTCACTTCTACGTAAATTGAGAAATTTTTGTGCCATGCTTCCGAACGCGTCCTCATTGGAGTCTTGGATATGTTCACTCATCTTGTGCACTTCCAAGTAAGCTTCAAAGTGCTAGGAGTCCTATCCTTGAAGCGGCAGATACAGTTAATTCGACAAGGCAGCATTGTGTCGGGAATCTGGAAGTTCTGCTCGCTCCTCATGAAGGATCTCAGCTTGCACCCGCGCATACCCGGACACTCTGCTTTTCGTGTTTCTGCAGTGTGGTGAGGGCTGGTCGGCTGCTGCACGATGCCCGAGCACCCGGACAAGACATTTCGAAAAAACTTTATCAAGTACATGCTGCCCTGCCGCCAAGAAGCGCCTGCCATGATGAGACTGTGGTTAGCAGACAGACAGACAGACAGACAGACAGACAGACAGACAGACAGACAGACAGACAGACAGACAGACACACACACACACAAAGTCTTACCCACCCACTCAAAGCGCAGTAGTCGTTTCGGTGAAGCAAAGTGTTTTTCTACGTTGTATTACTACTAGTAGTGAAAAGAGGGCCGCGGAGGCGGGTGTTCAAAGTGCCGAAGCGGGGTGCCTCCGTGAAAAGGTTCGCCGAGTTGAAGGCGAGTACGCGAGACACGCCCGGGTTGGGGGATCCCCTTGACCCCCCCCCCCAGAAAAATGGAGCGCTGCCTCTATCTACACAAACTACGTAAGCATAAGACAGAGAGAGAGGGAGAGAGAGAGAGAGAGAGAAAGCTGCCCACCCACGGCCTCAACTCGGACCGTAAGTTCACACAGACCGCAAGACCCAGTGCGCGTGCGCGCGCGAGGGGAGCGGGGACCCGCTTTCCTCCAGCTGTGCTGAAGAAGAAATAGAGAGAGAGACAGAGAGAGAGAGAGAGAGGCGTAGGGGGATTTCCCCTTGCGCCACAGCCCTGGCGAAAGAAAGAAAGAAAGCAAGAGAGAGAGAGAGAGAGAGAGAGAAAGAGAGAGAGAGCTAGGTACATGATCTGTGGTACGTGGGGGGACGACCACCTGCACCTTTTCACACCTGGTAAGTGTCCCCAACAAACACCGGGGGGCCCAAGTGGCCAGGGGGCCCGACCAGCTCCTTTGCCCCCGTGGAGGAAGAGAGCGAGAGAAAGACTTAGTTTGCGCGCCGAGAGAGAGAGAGGGAGAGAGAAGCGACCAGTACGAAGCCCCACTCAACGCAAGGTAGCCGTTAGTTTCACCAACCTTTTCTCGGCACGGCAAGCAAGGGATGATGTCCCCTTAGGCCTGACAGGACGTTACAGGTTCTCACTTTAATCAGGCGGCGGTCCACCTGTTGTTGGGACTGCACGTGCTGACGCAGCCGAGAAGGGGGGCCAAGCTCTGTGACAAACGCCAGAACAAACCGCGTATTCGTGTAGTGTTGTGCTTTCGGAAAGCCCTGCCCACCAAATGCAGGGGATGTCCAAACTAAGTTGTGTGTTGCTGCCGGTCATCCTCAAATGCATGGGGGCTCTTCAATCGAATGGTGAGCCCGCCACCCTGGCTGAAGCCATAGGGGCCCGGAGATGAGGCCGGGACGCAGGTCACATTGGGTGGTTGTGCGAGCCAATAGTCTGAGGGTCGGGGACACCGACCCCTGAGCCCAGCAGGAAGAAAGAAAGAGAAGCGAAAGAAATAAGGAGAGAGAATTTGTGTTTACGTGTGGGTGTTGTGGGTGTAGCAGTGTAGCATGTAGCTAGCAAGCTAGCTGGCAGGTAGGGAGGTAGGTAGGTAACGTCCTTGGAAAGTTGGCGAAACTGAACAGTAACTGAACACCGATTGGTCAGCCGCAAGTGACACAATCTTCTCAGAATGATATGATATGCAGTGCGAGCCCAATGCTTCGAAGCGTCTAGGTACAACAACGTGTGATTCCACTGGTGGCACGGTGAGTGGCCGAGATTGTATTGATCTGTTCAGGGCAGTGGAGGCTGGGCGTGTTTCGAGTCCGGCGAGGGTCGCACCTCGGATCTCATTGCCTCGCCGGAGGCGTCAATCTGCTGGAGCGTCGCTTCGCCCATGGTCTGTGTAGACACGATGGCCGTCTCTGGGAGCCTATCGGTCTCGGTACCTCAGCTGTAGCAGGCGGCAGAGTACTGAAGGTTCGGTGGTGCTGACTCCGAGGCACAATTGAAGTTGGTCGCGGCTGGCAGTACCGTGTCCAGTGATCCGACGTCTCTCATGGACGCTTGTCATCCGAGCAGGAAGCGCGACATTTACTCTCAGGCGTCGTCTGACACCCGCTCGCTTGCTGCACTGTTGCCGTCGGATGCGGTATGGGGCATCTTTGGGGCGCCTGGAAAACGTACCTGCTGTATCCATTCTATCGCGTTTGGGGCCGTCGTGGGGACATCATGAGTAGGCATCAGGTGGCATCAGTCTACGTTGGCATTGGAAAACGGATTATCGTTGGCATCGCACGCGGTTCAGCCGTCGTTCTGCGATGGCTGTGCGTGTGTGTGTGGCACTGAATGTCGGCAAGATTCAGCCCTGCTTCTCGTTTTCCCTTAGCGTCGCTGTCGCGACTTGAAGAGGCACTGAGTGGCCAAAGGACAAAGGGGACGATGGCTGCAAGTTGCCGTTTCTCCCTCGAACTTAAGGACACGACTGGATACTACAGCTGCTCTGGTGAGGAGGTCGAAGTCAAGGAACCCTGACGCAAAAGGTTTGACAAGTGTTTTGGCATGTTTTTGCTGCTGGCGATGTGAACATTGCGTCTTGGCAGGCCGACAGTGGGTCAGTATCTGCATGCTTATCCAGATGGTTACCGCCATCCTTCTTTCTGCCACTCCTCGGGTATCTTTGAGTCGGCCCACGGAGAAACAGCTAGCAGAAGTGACATAATATGTAGCTCGCTACGGATGTACAGAGCGAATGAGTTTCGCCCTCTGCGAATCACGCAGGGGGCCGTTGTGCCAGATGGCTGTGGCAGTCCGCACGAAATGTTGCTGACGAAGAAGTGTCTGTTGCTTACAGTGTGGGACGGCGGTCTGAAAATGTTCAGGTCTTTACAACCTTGCGACAGCTAACTTCTGGCCAGGATCTTGAGAACATGTTCATGGTGTTGTTCCAAGCAATGCTTAACTTTCTCTCATCTGAGGTTCTCCAGAGGTGGCAACATTTTCAAGCTGGTCTTCGTTCGGTCTTCTTGGGCCGGGCTGGAGGCAGGACCGGGAGATCCCTTTGTGGAGAGAGAGGTCACTATGGCCCAAGTTACCGTCCCCAGATTCACATTGGCACTCTGCTGTAGAGCGCAAGTCCGCTAGAGTCGCCTAAGGTCTTCAGTTTAAGATGTTTTTGAAATCTTTTGAAGACGGAAGGGGTTCTGATGTCGCGCCCGAACAGAGCTCGGTGCACCGGCCTGGCTTGGGATTTTCTTGGCTGATGTTCTCTTCGGCTTTAACTTAAAGGCTCCGCTTTGACTCTAAGGCTTGGAATGTCAATCGGGCGGCCTGGTATGCGGGGGGAGGGACTACGATGGCTGAGTCCAATACACCAGCAACCCCTTCAATCATGCTGCCCATCATCACCAGAGAATTCAACGTCGCATAGTATTTCAGGTGCGAGAGCCGGGTGTGCTGGCCCTGATCGCTATCTCGGGGGTCCTGTGGCAGCCGGCCCAGCACGCTCACATTCATTCACATTACAAGACTCACTCAAGAAGATTCAATTCCTCACACCTTCAGGGTTGGCGGCTGCCTCTACCTTGCAAAGGGCGAGCTGTTGGCCGTGGCCTTGTCCATGTCATGGACTTTGGTCTTTGGGCGGCTTCGCAGCCAAGGAGATGGCAAGAATGATTCAGCGCTCCAACAAGATCTGGCACCTGCGTTTTCTGCAAGCGGACTGGCGTCCAAGTAGAGCCGATGGTGTATTTCTCCTGACAGGTACTACACCCTGGCGCAGGACTACCTTGGTTTCTGGAATTGCTGAGCCTCAGAGAAAAACAGCATCAACGCACACTGAAGGGAACATCGTATTGTTCGGAAAGATCGCGTCGTGCTCGGAGTGAGTTCATCGTTCGTCTGACGAGGCGTCGACTGGCTGGCGATCATCATGACAACTGTAATTTCCATAAGCTTTGGAGTGTGTGCAGCTGAGATTGCGTCGGTGGTTTTCGCAGTTCGCACTGCAACAGCCAGACAGCCAGGCTCCACATCTTTATCGGTGATGTCAATGGCAAGCTGGCATCTCAAACAGTGTTTTCCATTGTAACGACCGAATGTTTGATCTGTTGTATCGGATGCCACAGAGCAAAGTCGAAAACTCCCCTCTTCGCGTCCTCTCATCTTCTGTTCAGTTGTACTTTGTACTGGCGCGTGTCTCGTCACTACTTTAAGTCAGATCCCGGTCCTGAGACCGGTCACGGAGTGCTTGGGCTCATGTGAGTATCGCCCGCAAGCCCGTTGCCACAGCCTTATTGTGTTTGACCCCACGCCGGCTCAAGACCTCCGAGTGATGCAAAACAAGGCTGGTTTGGCTCTGATTCCTCGATCGTGTCCTTGCATGATGCAGCTTTGCTGAACCTCCCGCTCGTGCTACGGCCAGGCAAACAAGTTGTTGTACTCACCAGCCTCCCCCAGCCTCAGCATCAGCAGCCCAAGTAGCTCGGACCCCAACACATCCCAAAACTGGATCATCGTCATGAGGGGAGCAGCCAGCCTGGTCAGGCGTGTAGGATAGAAGCATTCTTCCAGTGGCTGTCAGGGCCCTTGTCCATGCTGTCTGGCCATGCTGTTCTCAGGTTGGGAGCCATCGTGATGGAGGCAGGCACTCAGACTATCAAAAATTGGTGGCGCTTCCAATTGGTCGTGATTGATCGTGCATTGTAGGTGGACAGCAATGGCTATCCCCCACTGGAAACGTATCGGGAGATCGCTTCAGCCCTGGAGATTTCATCACGTCGGTTTCATGCACGACAAGACGATGTTGGTAGAGGTTGGACTTGAGGTCCCAAGGCCTCAATCTCTTGGAAGCATAAGAAAGCAGTAATCTCCGATCCAGCCATACCCAGTCTTTCAGCCCCGGTTCGTGGGTACCCTCGGAGTGACACGGGTCTTTCAAACCCTGTTCAGCCCTTCTTTCGAAACGAATTCATTGCGGAGCAGCAGGGATAAAGCAGGGCGGGTGCAGTGTAGTTGTGTGTCCAGCGGGTCAGAATTGAGAGGACATGGGTCCACATCTTCTTCATTCCACCAAGGTCTGAAAAGAAAACCTTGTTTGACAGCTTGAATGAAACACACCCGCATGTTTCCCACGACGTGACATTCTGTGAGTGTGAAGCACGAACACATTTCTCTGAGCGGGGTGGCAATCACGGCGAGGGCATGCTTCTGGGTAGAAAGCTATCAGAGTTTGCTAGACAGGAGTCGAGTATCACTGAGCTTTTGCACTTCAGGGCGAAGCCGTGACACTCAGAAGCCAAAGCAACTATACTCGGTTCGGTCCAGCTCGGCCGACAATTTTCCCACTGACATTCGCTGCGCCATGGGGCAAGCGATCGTCACGTACCGGTTTTACACTTACGGCCGTCAGCACTTTACGCAGACTGGGTGGACGCCTCCTCATTTGCCAGTTGTTTGTGATTACCTGTGATTGTGATGTCGATGCTGACCTGCCGAGACTGCAGCAAAGGAAAGCACACTCTGCATCCTACGGACATGGTCAAGATCTGCAGTCCTTTAATCTGCGAGGGAAAGTGTCAGTGGTGACTGGTGCCAATTCAGGCGGGCTCCTGACACTGACCCCGCTGCCGGCAGATGTGAGTTGCTCGCAGAAATCGCAAAGATGTATGGCTCGGTGGCCACACAAGACAGTGCCACAGTGCCATGCAGTCACCATGAGCTGCTCTAAGCAATGTTTGAGTCAACTGGGTCAGTCTTACATTCTGAAGCAGCATCTGGACTGGAGGAATTGGACGCGAAATCGCAGAATTCCTGGTAGCCCGTGGGAGCAGGGTGTATATGGCAGCTTACTTGCACGAGCAGGGAAGGTCCCGTGCAGTCTCCACATGCCTCGCAGACCGTTGGCATGAAGAGACAAGACGTGCGGAGTGTCCCAAGGTCTGCCGAAATGCTGAGCGAGGCCAGCAGGCCAAGGATGAAATCGTCCAGAAGACCCGCAGCCCTTTGGATTGAAGCTGCAGTCAGAGTCAGAACCCACAAGATGCTTCGCAGTCCGAGGTGAAGATGTGCATCTTTTGGTGGCAGATTGCGGTCTTGCCTCCGATGTGCGCCGAGTAGCGGCGGAGCTTTGCGAGAAGGCCCGACCCCTTCTGCGAGTGAAATCAGTTGTTGCTGGACTGTGTCTAGGCTGTGTTTTGGACCATCCTACGCAACACTCTTGGTTTTTGAGGGTGTCCCCGCCCAATTTCCGATACCCCTCCCGACAAACCCCAACGGTCCGGTCGTTAACTCGACAGTAGCTATATGGTTTGTCGACGTGCCGTAATGTGTTTTTCCGCTAGCTCGCACGGCAAGTCGTACATTCCGCAGCCGTTCGACTTAAGTGTGCTAGGCCGTCGAAGGCTTGATGCCTTGCAGATCCGACTCCTCATCTCCGCCCGGCCCCCGTCGCAGGAGGGGTCGGAGGCGTGAAGACTCCTTCAGCAGCAGCCCCCTGGCCCGATTCAGGCCTGGGAGCCTGCCCTGTTTACTTTGTTTTTTTCATTTTTTGTTCGGCAGGCGGCCCCGCAGTCCTTCCAGTCGAAGGGCTTCTCCGGTCTCCTTTCCGTTTCTGCCTGTCCCATTCGTGGGTGCAGGTCTTCGGGATTGGTCCGCTTCCCGTCGCTGGAAGCTCAGCCAAACCTGGACTGTTTTCCTGATTGCTCCGCCCAGGCCCCACCCAGCAAATTTGCTCCTTCGGTGAGTCCCAGGCCCGCTTGCAGCTTTGTCCGTCAGTGCCTAGTTGCAGGCTGTGGCATGATTTGTTGGTTGAGCGATCGGCCTTTTTCTACCGCAGCCGCATTCTGCGGAGCGCTTGATTTCGTCTCTTCTCTCGCCATCATCGGTCATGTCTCGCTTCGGTGGTGACCATCCTCTTCACAACCTGGCCCGTGGTTTGGTTGGGCATGTGACCATGGGAGTCAGGCTATACCGTCTCTGCCCCCCGAGCCATCCGCCCACGTCCGATGGCCAGTCAGCTGCCTCGGCGAAGAAGAAAAGCAGCTTTCCCCAGCCACGGCCGCCCCGAAGCCAGCTGCTGCCGCTCCGGTGGCCGCCGCAAGCTCCAGTGCCGGTCCTGCCGTGGCGGTGCAACCTACCGGCCCGAATGATGATTGACCTGACCACCCGACCAACTTCTCCTAATGACGCCCTCTACAGGGCTTTCGCCGATTTGTCGGTCAGTCAGCTGGCCCGCATCAACTCACTCCTGTCCAATGTAATGGCCCAATTTTACGCACTGTGCAATATCGCACAATTAGAGACGGCGCTCATAACTGCTTCCGCCCCGGCTCTGGACCGCGGCCCCGCTACCTGATGGTCTCTGTTTCCGGACCGTCCGGCTGATAGCATTCACCGAATCCTGGCTTTCTTGCCCGTCTGGTCCGACTATGCGTGAGTATCCTCCGCCCGGCCAGCTTCCTTGCTCGAATCCGGAGCTTGCGGCCATCGCATCGACCCACCACGCCGGCGTGCTCACACGAGTCATGCGTGTAGACTGTGCCGCCGATTCGGCTGGTAAACGGTCGGCCTACTCTGCCGCCCCGTGCTGCCACCTGGGTGGCAGTGGCTTTTTAACTTCAGACCGCGTTCCGCAGCGAACCCGGCCCTGGTTAAAAAGAGCGTGGCCGCACAATCCAGCTTGTGTCCTATCCTGTCCATTTGCTTGCGTGCAGCTGGTGTTCCTCTGCAGCCATTGTCTTTGCTTGATGCCCGCTGTGGTAGACTGTCTCATCTCGCCGGTCGTCGCGACCAGCCCCAGCCGCGCTCGTTGGGTTCCTGAAGCAGCGGGCCGCACCGGATGATCTGCTTAATGTTCTTACGGCCAAGGGTCTCCGCGAGGAAAACATTCATATCCGCTGCCACGGCCGTGCCTCCTCGATCCTTCCCTCCGCTCGCCCTCCATGCTGGAGGTGCTCGCTGCAGATAAGTCGGTGTGGGCAGCCGTTGCCGACGCATTGCATGGGGTTACCATGACACGCCACATGATCCCACACTGCTATGCTCCCGCCCCCGCTCCATGCCGGCGCCTCCGGTACGCGAGCCGAACCCAAGTGCCATAGGGAGCACCATAGAACCTCCGGCCGTCCGGGCGGCGCTCTGGAACGCCCTCCCAAGAAGCCCAAAACGGATACCCTGCCGGCAAGGTTCGGTTCAGGTGGCAAAAAGCCGGTATCCGAGTTGTGGGAGGAATCCTGGCATACAGTCGATGCATCCGGCAGGAAATTCGGCGACGCAACCTCCCCGCTTCTCTCACACCTGTCCGATCCCTTTACTCGTTCCGGTTCCATCCCCACAATCGAAAGGCACGCTGCAGCGGCTGATGACACCTTTTCTGTGCACTCCTCTTCGGAGTGGAGGATGCCGTCAAGGTTGAAGCCACTCCTTCCGGCTCTTCTGGTTCGGTACATCCGGTGAGTCGATCTCGGTCACGCGGACCTGCGCCTGTCCGTACTCCTAAGCATCCGTCGGGCATTCCGGACCCGTCTGCCAGGCAGTGCCCCGAGCTTGATATGTCCGCTCGCCTGCGTGACTTTACAGTGGAGCTTCTGACGACAATCCTCCTGTCCCGGGCATAGCTACGTTCTGGAGAACCCCTCAAGCAGCCTTCTCTGGCTCACCCCGTCCTGGGTCTCCTGGGTCCGCAACCACTTCCTGCGGGCCATTGAGGTGGCCGCTTGCAACCACGGCATGAATGCTCTGAAAAGTTGGACTCTTGTAAAAAAGTTTCCGACCTTTCCGCTATTGCATCTACGTGCCAGCATCACTGTGGATTTCATCCGACCCTGTCCGGTCGCAGAGACTCGTCTGGCCAATTCCTTACACGTACCACGGCCTGCTACCTGGAGTCCCTCTTCGCGGCCACGGCCTCGCATTTGCGACCGCTTCTGTCCGGTCATCTTGTTGTGGTCCCGTTTCTGGGTTGGGAGCAGCACCTTATAACTGTTGGCGCCTAAACGGCCTATTCCCACCTCTCGCGTTGAAGATGGTGCCAGAACATGCTCCACCGCATCCTGGACCGTGCCCTCCGGCCCGGACATTCTTCACAGGCTTCGCAAATCCTGAAGTTGACCGCATTTCGTGCGAGCAGTTTCTTGGGAAACTCAGGGCTAACATCGCGTCCGGGTCAAAGCCACCTCCGGTGTCAGAGGAGGAGCTTGCGCCGTTCCTGAACTTGCGCCAATTCTTGCGCTCTCCGCTACAGACTTCCAGACCTTGTTGACGGTCCCGCCTGGCCAACCCTTCCGCCTTTTTCTCCTGGAAGCGCTCCTCACCCGTTGCAAGGATCCCGATGTTGCCTTTGTGGATCTGCTTGTCGAAGGCGTTCCACTTGCAGTCGACGAACCCATGCCACCATATCCATCGCTCTTCCCGGCTCCGCCTGTGGTCCGCGAACTCAAGCTGCTTCCCGTGGCTTTCCCGGGACAACGTCGCGTTTGGATTCCGTCCGCATGCCGCCGGACTCCGACCGAAAGATCTCTGCGGAGTCTGGGGAGGTCCTTGACATGTGGAGTTCTTGCATTTCCTTTGACCGGCCTGTTTTCCCACTGGCCCAAGACCGGCGATTTACCTGCGAAGCATTTGCTGAAGCTTGTGCTGATGCCCGTCATATACTATATAACGAGGCTTTGTCATGATTCCGGACTCCCGCACCCTTTGGTTCGGGCGTCCTTTACACCTTCCGAGCTTCACCACCTTGTCCCATGGTTTCCGCCGAAGACCTCTCTCCGCAGAAGTTCATCGCAGCTTGGGAGCTGCTCGGACAACTCGCGCTGGTCTGCTGGGTTGCGTTACTTATCCCGGCCGCCCACCATGCGGTCCATTTTGTCAGCAGGTGTGAAAACAGCCCTTCTGACTCAGCGTCCTGGAAGGGCATCTCTACTGCTCGTGGCAGCTGTCACACTTGCTCCGCACATATTTCATATTTCCTTTGGCAGCGGCATTTGTATTTCAACATACATTGATCATGTCCTGGGATTCCGGAATACCATTTCAGATGGGTTAAGCCGATCCGTCTGTCCTGAGGATTTTGGCCTGCACCTCTCTGATGAGATTGACAACCGTGGCATCTTCTCTCGACTCCGCCTCGTCCGGAGTATTTCCGTATTTCCGGCGATTGACTCTGCAAGGAAGGAAAGGAAAGTGAAGGGCATCTGATTGCACTGGTCCGGCTCTGGAATACAGACTTTGGCTGAGTTTTCCCCGGTCCGGTTTACTCCAGCGCTTAGTGTTTTAAGATTTTTTGTGCTACAGG